CCAGTAGGAAGAAGGAGGTCAGTGTGGCCGGCATGGGGTGAGCAAAGGAGAGGTTAGGAAGATGTGAAGTCATGGGGTAGCAAGGGTTTCTTTTTTAAAAAAATTTATTATTATACTTTAAGTTCTAGGGTACATGTGCACAACATGCAGGTTTCTTACATATGTATACATGTGCCATGTTGGTGTGCTGTGCCCATTAACTCGTCATTTACATTAGGTATATCTCTTAATGCTATCCCTCCCCACTCCCCCCACCTCACGACAGGCCCCAGTGTGTGACGTTCCCTGCCCTGTGTACAAGTGTTCTCACTGTTCAATTCCCACCTATGAGTGAGAACATGCGGTGTTTGGTTTTCTGTCCTTGTGATAGTTTGCTGAGAATGATGGTTTCCAGCTGCATCCATGTCCCTACAAAGGACATGAACTCATCCTTTGTTATGAGTGCATAGTATTCTATGGTGTATATGTGACACATTTTCTTAATTCAGTCTGTCACTGATGGATATTTGGGTTGGTTCCAAGTCTTTGCTATTGTGAATAGTGCTGCAATAAACATACGTATGCATGTGTCTTTATAGCAGCATGATTAATAATCCTTTGGGTATATACCCAGTAATGCAGTGGCTGGATCAAGTGGTATTTCTTGTTCTAGATCCTAGAGGAATCACCACACTGTCTTCCACAATGGTTGAACTAATTTACAGTCCCACCAACAGTGTAAAAGTGTTCCTATTTCTCCACATCCTCTCCAGCACCTGTTGTTTTTTGACTTTTTAATGATCGCCATTCTAACTGGTGTAAGATGGTATCTCATTGTGGTTTTGATTTGCATTTCTCTGATGGCGAGTGATAATGAGCATTTTTTCATATGTCTGTTGGCTGCATAAATGTCTTCTTTTGAAAAGTGTCTGTTCATATCCTTTGCCCACTTTTTGATGGGGTTGTTTTTTTCTTGTAAATTTGTTTGAGTTCTTTGTAGGTTCTGGATATTAGCCCTTTGTCAGATGAGTAGATTGTAAAAATTTTTTCCCATTCTGTAGGTTGCCTGTTCACTCTGGTGGTAGTTTGGTAGTTTCTTTTGCTGTGCAGAAGCTCTTTACTTTAATTGGATCCCATTTGTCAATTTTGGCTTTTGTCGTCATTACTTTTGGTGTTTTAGACATGAAGTCCTTGCCCATGCCTATGTCCTGAATGGTATTACCTAGGTTTTCTTCTTGGGTTTTTATGGTTTTAGGTCTAACATTTAAGTCTCTAATCTATCTTGAATTAATTTTCGTATAAGATGTAAGGAAGGGATCCAATTTCAGCTTTCTACATATGGCTAGCCAGTTTCCCCAGCACCATTTATTAAATAGGGAATCCTTTCCCCATTTCTTGTTTTTGTCAGGTTTGTCAAAGATCAGATGGTTGTAGATGTGTGGTATTATTTCTGAGGGCTCTGTTCTGTTCCATTGGTCTATATCTCTGTTTTGGTACCAGTACCATGCTGTTTTGATTACTGTAGCCTTGTAGTATAGTTTGAAGTCAGGTAGCATGATGCCTCCAGCTTTGTTCTTTTGGCTTAGGATTGTCTTGGCAATGCAGGCTCTTTTTTGGTTCCATATGAACTTTAAAGTAGTGTTTTCCAATTCTGTGAAGAAAGTCATTGGCAGCTTGATGGGGATGGCATTGAATCTATAAATTAGCTTGGGCAGTATGACCATTTTCACAATATTGATTCTTCCTATCCATGAGCATGACATGTTCTTCCATTTGTTTGTGTCCTCTTATTTCATTAAGCAGTGTTTTGTAGTTCTCCTTGAAGAGGTCCTTCACATCCCTTGTTAGTTGGATTCTGAGGTATTTTATTCTCTTTGAAGCAGTTGTGAATGGGAGTTCACTCATGATTTGGCTCTCTGTTTTTCTGTTATTTGTGTATAAGAATGCTTGTGATTTTTGCACATTGATTTTGTATCCTGAGACTTTGCTGAAGTTGCTTATGAGCTTAAGGAGATTTTGGGCTGAGACAATGGGGTTTTCTAAATATACAATCATGTCATCTGAAAACAGGGACAATTTGACTTCTTCTTTTCCTAATTGAATACCCTTTATTTCTTTCTCCTGCCTGATTGCCCTGGCCAGAACTTCCAACACTATGTTGAATAGGAGTGGTGAGAGAGGGCATCCCTGTCTTGTGCCAGTTTTCAAAGGGAATGCTTCCAGTTTTGCCCATTCAGTATGATAATGGCTGTGGGTTTGTCATAAATAGCTCTTATTATTTTGAGATACGTTCCATCAATACTGAATTTACTGAGAGTTTTTAGCATGAAGGACTGTTGAATTTTGTCAAAGGCTTTTTCTGCATCTATTGTGATAATCATGTGGTTTTTGTCTTTGGTTCTGTTTATATGCTGGATTACATTTATTGATTTGCGTATGTCGAACCAGCCTTGCATCCCAGAGATGAAGCCCACTTGATCATGGTGGATAAACTTTTTGATGTGCTGCCGGATTTAGTTTGCCAGTATTTTATTGAGGATTTTTGCACCGATGTTCATCAAGGATATTGGTCTGAAATTCTCTTTTTTTGTTGTGTCTCTGCCAGGCTTTGGTATCATGATGATGTCGGCCTCATAAAATGAGTTAAGGAGTGTTCCCTCCTTTTCTATTGATTGGAATAGTTTCAGAAAGAATGGTACCAGCTCCTCCTTGTACCTCTGGTAGAATTCAGTTGTGAATCCGTCTGGTCCTGGACTTTTTTTTTATTGGTAGGCTATTAATTATTGCCTCAATTTCAGAGCCTGCTATTGGTCTATTCAGGGATTCAACTTCTTCCTGGTTTAGTCTTGGGAGAGCATATGTGTCCAGGAATTTATCCATTTCTTCTAGGTTTTCTAGTTTATTTGCGTAGAGGTGTTCATAGTATCCTCTGATGATAGTTTGTATTTCTGTGAGGTCGGTGGTGATATCCCCTTTATCATTTTTTATTCTCTATTTGATTTTTCTCTCTTTTCTTCTTTATTAGTCTTGCTAGCAGTCTATCAATTTTGTTGATCTTTTCAAAAAACCAGCTCCTGGATTCATTGATTTTTGGAAGGGTTTTTTGCATCTCTATCTCCTTCAGTTCTGCTCTGATCTTAGTTATTTCTTGCCCTCTGCTAGCTTTTAAATATGTTTGCTCTTGCTTCTCTAGTTCTTTTAATTGTAATGTTAGGGTGTCGATTTTAGATCTTTCCTCTTTCTCTTGTGGGCATTTAGTGCTATAAATTTCCCTCTACACACTGCTTTAAATGTGTCCCAGAGATTCTGATATGTTATGTCTTTGTTCTCATTGGTTTCAAAGAACATCTTTATTTCTGCCTTCATTTCGTTATGTACCCAGTAGTCATTCAGGAGCAGGTTGTTCAGTTTCCATGTAGTTGAGCGGTTTTGATTGAGTTTCTTAGTCCTGAGTTCTAGTTTGATTGCACTGTGGTCTGAGAGACAGTTTGTTATAGTTTCTGTTCTTTTACATTTGCTGAGGAGTGCTTTACTTCCAACTATTTGGTCAATTTTGGAATATGTGCGCTGTGGTGTTGAGAAGAATGTATATTCTGTTGATTTGAGGTGGAGAGTTCTGTAGATGTCTATTAGGTCCACTTGGTGCAGAGCTGAGTTCTAAGTGCATTAAAAGTTTACACTTTAACTTTGGGGGGATATGGGAGATTCCTGAAAGCGTTAGAGAAGACAAGATACACAATCTGACACATGCTTTAAAGGATCCCTCTCGCTGAAGGGGAACAAGAAAAGATGATCAGGAGACCAGTTAGAAAGCTATTGAGAGCCTGCAAGAGAAAGGACTAGAATCGTAGAGATGGAGAGAAGTGGGTAGATTCCGGATATAATTTGAAGGTGAAATTGACTAGATTTGTGCATGGATTGGGTAGGGAGTATAAGGGAAAGAATGTAGTAAAGAAGAACTCCAAAGTGTTTCTCTCCCAGCAAGTAGAAGAACAGATTTTTCATCATCTGAGATGAAGGAAATTGAAGGAGGAGCAGGTTTGTGAGGAAGAGCTGATACTCAGTTTTAAACTTGCTGATTTTGATATGCCTATGAGACCTACAAGCCTGTAAGTGGAGAGGAGTGGGCAGTTGAACACATGAGTTTGAGTTCAGGAAAAAGGTGTGGATCCAAGTTGTATATTTTTGGACACAAGTACATAGTTGTTATTAAAGCCATTGACTAGATGATTTTATCAAGGGATCTTCATATAGAGAGGAGAGATCTGCAGACTAAGCATTATCGTCAAGATGATTATAGATGGCACCGAGTTGCATTTTTAATGATAATTTAAGTAAACATAAAAAAGTGTTAGCTTTTCCCTCTCTCTTTCAATATAGGGGTAATTTTTATATTGTTATATTAATGATATTAGTAAAATGTTGGTTTTCTATACAAGTTAGTGACCTGCAGTTCCTCTTAAAATAACTTGTTTAAGTAAAAACCTGAGTGCATTTAAACTGTTAATTGAATGGTAAATCATACTAGCGTCACACAGATATTTCAATATTTTGAACACGGTTTAGAAAGACATTTGAGAAACAGATGTATCAGAAAGAATTCTGTCCTGACGTCAACAGCCTTAGTACTTATTATTAGGCAAAAGCTTTTAAGCTTTTAATCGAGACTTTTATTTCTCTATGCCCATTTCTTTATTCTTAAAATACAATAATAATACTTTAAACTGAAAAGTACTTTCTATTTATTTCCCTAAGAAAGTTGAGGCTCATTCCAAGTGGTTTTCATTAGGACAATGTTTTTCATCAAATGTACTTAGATTTTGAGGAGGGTAAGAGTTTCTCTCTCTCTCTCTCTCTCTCTCTCTCTCTCTCTCTCTGAGAAAAGCATGCCTCCAAAAGACATTCCACAACTGTATACTCTGGCAAGTCACTTAACATGAAATTTTTCTCTATTTATTACACTTACCCGATGCACACAGCAGCGTGTTGAAAGTTTCCTCCTTTGCTATTCCTTCAGGCTTTATATTGACAAAAAATAAAAAAAAAAGTAAAGCAATACTGAATGTATAAAAGAAAAATTAAACACTTGAAAGCAAAGGAGAAAATGCTGGTGAAAAATTGGATTGCAGATCTATCCACATTCTTGGGAATTAAATGTCACTGTCAGATGCATATTAGATAACACTGTATGAAATAATAAGGGCTCTGAGACTCACAGAGAGTAAACTCACATACCTCAACTAGTAAGGGCTTGACTACAGTGTCCTTCTGCACAAGTGGTGGGACATCAGTCAACTCATTGTTACACGCTTCCTGAGAATGCATGGCTTCTGCGGTAGCTGTGAAATTCACCTTTCCTGGGGAACAAAGTTCTTAAGAGTTAAATGGTGATTTTATATTGAACGGTTTCTTCTTTTTCAGTTTCCCCAGTGTATCTAGTGGTTGTCTTCCTCTTGATTAGTATTAAAGGAGGAGAAAAAGTATGTATTGGGGTCAGTGCAGAAAAAAAATCATCTGAGCACACGAGGTGGAATTTGCTAATAGCGTTACTACTCACCCAGTGACTTTGGAGTCACAGTCCAGGACACGGTTTTCCGCCCATTTCTACAGACACAGTGAGATTCTTCATTCTTCTCTGTTGGGACAGCCAGGAAAGCGGAAGAGACTTCCAGCTGCACAATGACCTGTCCCCCCACACCCAAGCACAAGTTTATGAAGGGACGCAGAACAGGATGCATACTGGGGAAGATGCTGTGTGCATCAGGTAAGTGGACTGAGGGACAACGTCCGTCCGTCTGGAGGCGCTGAGAAGCTATGCAAACATGACCAGCTGTATCAGACACTTTGTAGTTTAGGTGTTTGAAACAAGAAAATGGAAAAACTGACAGGAATTAGGATAAATGTTGAGGATTTGGCCTTGTGCCAACAGAAGAAAGAGGTGTTTAGTGAAAAACATGAAGCAACCAGGTGGACATAATGTCTGAATTTAGGAATACACAGATGTAGGAGCCTGAATGAATATAACCTTACCACCTTGGACCCGTCAGGTACGTTTTCTTTTAGTACCAGGTCTGTTCCAAAATTAGGATGTGTCATACGCAGTTCTGATTTCCTGGGTTACCTAGGAGACCTGGTAATGAATGGTGACTATCTTCTATTCTCATTCACTTCCAGAGAAGTGCCCTTACCCGAATGCAAATGGACAAGTAGTTAAACACAGTGGCTTTGAGTGTGAAGGCTTCTCCTCGCACCACAGAATAAGGGAGGGTGAGTTCCAGGAAGAAAGGCTGGAAGGCTTGAAGAGACACGACAGGAGAGAGGCCAAACCCTGTGGTTCCAGACAAGCAGAATGCGCTGGCCATCCACTCCGTGATTGTGTCAGGGACCTGCATCACCAGGTCTCTTACACCTGATGAGCTAGTGAAGGAGCAGAGAAGAGGAGTGTGAGCAAATCTCTCTCTCTTTTTTTTTTTTAACACAAAGCATGGGTGATCCTAGAACATGATAACTCAGTAACCTAGTGTGGTAAATGCTAAACTTGATCTAAGGGTTGGTGTTCCTGGTAAGGTCTTAAAGTTTTTTTTTTGTCCCTACCTCCCTTAGTCCCTCCTTCCCTCCCTCCCTTTCTTTCTTCCTTTTTTCTTTCATTCTTTCCTTCCTTTTACTGTTTCTTCCAATCTCCCTCCCCTCCCCTTCCCTTTCCTTTATTTAAGAGGGCTGGTAGCATCCTACTTTCTATTTATCTATAGACCAAATTAGAAAAAAAATTAGCATTGTTTAATTATGAGATAAATGAACTATAAACCTAAATATTTACCAGCAAAGAGCAGAACAGAACTAAAAGGATCAGGAATCCGGGATAAAGTCAGTCATACAGCAGGATTCAAACCCTTTCCTAAACTAAATTCCAGGCAACACACAACTTACTCGACTACTACCAAATCCCAGATCCAGGTCTCAGGGAAGTACTTCCGGACTATCTCTTCCACTTGCAATATCTGAGGTTCTTCTTCGACCATTGGGCACATTATTTCTCCTAGGGGTAAGCCTCGCAGACCTGGTCCTGGAAGACAACACACAGGCCTCAGTGTGAACCTCATTTTTTATAATCAATTTCTTATTGCTGCCTTATTTCTCAAGTGGAATAAGGTCATATGCTCACGGAATGTTTATTATTGGAACAATTTAATCTATCAGCTTGTTATTTTGTTCACTTTCCCATAGAAAAGCTAATCCTATTTTTTCTTCAAACAGAATCTAGAGCTAAATATATTTTTCTTTATAAATAAAAACAAATGACCTGTACATGTACCTCCTGAATCTAAAATAAAAGTTGATTAAAAAAAAACAAATGTAGCTCTCTCTAGGATGATTATTCAACTGGTGAAGGGAAGGATAAAGAGTAATTTAATACATCAAATACGCTTTTACACTGAAATTGTGTTCACATGTCTTCTGTTTGCAGTGAGAATCAAACAAGAGGAATGGATATTAGTTAAGCAAGATGATTTCAGGAATGATTTTTTGTTTGTTTGTTTCAACATTGAATTAATATGGAGATATAAACAATAAGCAACAGGATTCAGTGGAGTATGTGGTATAGACAATGGGGAGTCAGGAATGAAAAGACAATCAACTTTAGTTAGGCTGGAAAAGACTTAACCAAAGCGGAACCTAAGATGATCATTCATGGATGGGAGGCAGAGGAGAATGGGGAGGCATTCCCAGGAAACGACTGTGCAAACATATACACAAAGGTGGAAGGGTGCTTCACAGGGATAATAAAAATTTACCCTCTAGAGTAGAATGGCTATTTTCAGGATGTGTTTCCCAAAATTATGTAAACAGAAGGTGTAATATATAATAAAACATCATGAAGGCTAAGACAAATAAATAAGATCTGTTAAGGCGGGAGTTAGTTAGCTTGATAAAAAAGAAATTGATATTCCAGAGATCAGAAGCTATACGTATATATAAGATATACATAATCTTAATATATTGTTAATATTATCTTAAAAATCTTTATTATAATAGTATTCTATAATATATCTTCTGATCTCTGGGGCATCACTTTCTTAAGATAATTATATATGTGTGTAATGTGTGTAATTATAAATACATATATGATATATATAAAATAATAGAAGTGCTCTTTTAAAACCTTAAATGCAATAATCTTATGAATTCTGGAAGTAGTGACTATGTTTGAGAAATAAGTGACTTGAGAAAAGCAGTGTTTAAGGGCATGTGGGATAGAGGGAGGTAAAGAAAAGCTGGAGGCAAAGAAGGTAAATTAGAATGGTTTTTCAGTAATCTAGCTTTGAAATAATGACAGATAAAGTGATGTAACTGAAAATGAGAAGGAAAAAATGGATAAGCAACAAATACCAAAAGAAAAATTTGCATAGAATATTATAGAATATTTGGGGTCAGAGTGTAATGATGTACTGTGAGTTTTCAGGTTTTCTGAAATCATACCTTTGTTTCCATTGATCTGTTTTCTCTTAGGGTTAAAAAGAAAATACACACTTAGTGAAATGAAAGTGAATTAATCATGCTTTTCAGTTTCTTTTTTTTAAACAAACATGCCATTAAAGGAATCATGATTTTTTTTTTCCCCTTTACAATCACAATACCTCAGTGAGTTTGGTGTTGTCATTCTGACTTCAGATTTAAAGAAATTGAGCCTCTGAAAGGTTAAGTGAGTCTGCAAATTTCCAAAGTCACAGAGTCATAGCAGAGAGGAGTGTGATGAAAAATTGTCCCTTTGTTCTTAAAACAGTGTTCTTTTTTCACTATACAGGATTTTTTTTTTTTTTTTCTGGGGAGGAAATATCCTTAATGACTCCTTTGTTTCCAACTAGAACGTTACTCCTTGCCTTCCCAGACAATGAATCTGCTGTATTAAAATGTGTTTATTCCTTTTTTTTTTTTTTAACACTTTTTACTGCCATCCTCATTTTTTATTACAAAGTAAATTGGGTAGACATTCAAGCACGCAGAGAAAATTTTCTCTATGTCTGATGGCAGTAGAAAAGAATTTTGAGTTAGGCCCTTTTCAACTTTTCCTCATTTCCAGGTATACTTGAAACACACAAAGAGACTATGCAGAGGTAGTGTATCTGCCAAAAGTTGCATTACTCTCTTTTTGCTCAATATTACATAAATCACTTCACTTTCCATAAGAACATATGACAGAGACAGTTAATATGCACATGAGCCTTCCCATTTCTCAGCCTCTTTTGCATTTAGGGCAGGAACATGGGCGGAAGTGATGTAAACCATTCCTACTCCTGGCTTTAAGAGTCACATGCAACCTGCTTCCCCATAGGTATGACCCTGAAAGCCACGTTGGCGATGGCAGAGTCACCAGAGGAAGGTAGACTGGTTCTCTCTGACTCACTGTTTGGCACGGAGCTGTCCTGGAGAGCGTCTGAACTCACAAGTAGATTTTGTATGAGCAAAAACCAAACTATTATATGCTTACCCACTGAGATGTGGGAGTTTGTTTGATACTGCCATTTAATCTAATTCTGACTAATTCAGGTATCGAATCCACCATGGATAAGGAAGATCTAAAATGGCAAGACTATTAAAAGCAAAAACAAAAAGGTAGTTGATTTTGATGTCAAAGAGAAAATAACAATAATTGCTTAAAAATCCTCTATTTGAGGAAAAAATATTATTTGGGGCTAACTTACCAAGAAGTTGCTGCAGTTTCAAGATCCAATACTTAGAAAAATAGCTTTTCACCTTAAACCAACCCAATAAAGCACAATTTTTCTTCTATTTTGTCAGACAAATAAATCGCACCCTTACCTCCTATTATGCTGGCACGCAATCTTCGTGGTAGACACAAAGGTGGCTTATGGATTTTTGAGTTGGTAAACATATCTAATCCTATGGCCTGAAAAAAATTAATTGTTAAAGTATAGTGGCAATCCAATCTTGAGACTCTAAGTAATTTCTTGAATTTGTATTGTACTTTCACTATTATGTTACATATAGCTCATAGGCTCATCATGAAAATTACACATAATGAAGACAGCTATTTATAAATACAAAAACAGAGTCAGAGGAGGTCAAGTTCATTAAGCTATTGAGTGAACAGGAGTGGGAATTCAAACCTATTTCTGATTCTTATTTTTAAATATTGTCTGGTATACGCTAATGCTCCTTAATTTTTTTTTTGCATCCTTAAAACTGAGTATTTTAGACTTCTTTTCCTGCATGAAACAAATATCCGTGTCTATGTATGCATCTAGAGAGCTCTCCTTATGGCTTTATTGCAGAGAGAATTTTTTTGCTTATTTCTTGTCATTTTAAATGGAAGGTTTGCATATTGGAGGTTGTTCTTTACAATCTTAGTAAACTCTGTTTTGGTTTTACCAGAAGATATGGCTTTTCCTGAATATCTATGCTTAACTCATTTCTGTTGTACTTTCCTCTTTTTTATCAGTTTCTTTTAATTGTCTCAAATGTCTGCATCTAAAACCCACATTCAGATGCCCACAGTTGTCTACAGTCCACCCGTTTCCGTCTTCCCCCTTCTTCAACGTTAGTCACAGATAAATATTATTTGCTGTTTTATCTCAGAGTATGTGGGAAACTGTGGGACTTTTGAGCACAGTTGTCAATGGGGGTTGCGTACGCAACAGAAAGAAATAAACCAGAAATAAATGTTTAGAGATTAAACAGCTAGTTAATAAACCAAGAAGTATTCTTTTCATCCTTCTACCATCTGATTTATGATTCCAGAAGGTC